AAATAAATTCATTTTTATTAATTATTTTGTTATTTATTCTTACTTTTAAAATATCTCTGTCGTTAAAACATTTCTTTTTATTACTCTCAAAACAAGCTCATTTTCTCCTATCTGTATGTTAACAATAACACACTCATTACAATTTAAAAATATGTTAAAAATTTATCTTAAAAACAAATAACCATTTTTTAAAATAATATCCATGTCTAATAACAATAATAATACATAAGCTTAAATAAGTAAATATCTCCTAAAAAATACTCTCTTTTGAATTTAGTTATTATAAAAAATGTTAGATTTAATTTTCAAATTTTTTTATAAAAATAATCTTTATTGTTAATTAAAAATAGTCAAGTAATGACTAAAAAAACAATGATTCACGTCATATCTGACAAGTAGAATATTAACTTTAAATATGGTAAAACTTAAATAAATAATTAGTTCATAAAAAATATATTTTTTTAAAATTAGTCTCTAAAAAATATTTTTTTAAAAATTAATCTCTATTAAATTTTTGTTATAAGTTTAGTTATTCAAAAATATTTTTTTTTGAATTAGTTCTTATTGATTTTTTTTTAGTCTCGTAAATTTTTAAATAAAATAATTTTACATCATTTACATTTAACACTAAAATATTTTACTATTTATAATCAATCAACATGTAATGTTTTAAAGTTTTTTAATTATTCTATTTTTATTATTTTAGAAAAAGTTTATATTCTTATTTTTAAAGTAAAATTGGATATGATTAGAGTAAATCTCTTAACTCATGCGTAACGAAGAATATTTATATTATCTCAATTAATGAAAAATAAAAATATGGCTTCAAAGAAATATAATATAGTAAGTCTTTTTACCTTACATAATACACCTTCCGCTAGCTATTTTTGACATTATCTCTAAAAAAATTTGGACCTCAGATAACACTAACTTGTCAAGTATTTTTAAAAGAAAAGTAAAATGCAAGATATTAGATAAATCAATAATGTTGATTCAAAAGATAATAATAGAATTTATTTTTTTAAAAATTAAAAAAAGTAAGATAAAAGGGACTAATTTAAAAAATATTTAAAAATTAATTATATATTTAAATTTTATCACATTTAAAGCTAAAAGCATTACACTTAACAGATATAACTATATAACATATAATTGTTTGACCTTAAAAGGGAATTCTCTATAATTTTATCTGTGAAGAGTTATTTTTTATTTCATCATGTCATTAATAACAATTATTTTTAAATAATAATACATAAAAATAACGCTCATAAATAGTCCTATTAAAATTAAGAAATATAAATATGTCTGTCATCCATACCAAAATAAATAAAACTTTTAAAAAAACTTGCTAATAGAAGAAGACTTTTAAAGAATAAGAAACATAGAACTAAAGAGAGAGACAAAAAGAAACTTTCGTATATAATCCTGTATAATCTCAAATATTATTAGTTTCGGTACATAGACTAACAACATTTATTTAGTCATCATTATCGATAAAAACTATTAAAAGAAATACCAAACTAAATTAAAAAAATTATAAAAATATATATTTTTAAAAACTACTTATTTATTTCATCTTGCTAATATAACAAATTTAAAAATATGCCACGTTTTATTACAATACATAAACCAGGCCGGATTGTAATTTGTCGCATCACATCGAACTCAAATGTTGGTTAAGACACATAAATAAAAATTTATTAAAAATTATAATATTACTAATGTATTAGATCTTATGAAATTTTCAGTTTTGTCTAATTGTTCAGTGTTGTTATTTTGTTCATCGGAGTTCTTATTTTTCTTATTAATTTTAGGGAACTGATGATAAATTGGCTCACTTAACATAAGGGTTAAATTTAGAGTAATGTCAGATTTTCTTTTCGCATTACGCTTTCGATAATTAAATTTTAGAATAAAGTAGCTTTGAAAATATAGTTTTTGAAAGTAATTAAGATTCATTGAAAGATATTAAAAAAAATGGGAGTGAGTGAGAAAAAACTATAGCTCAAAAAGTAAAATAAGACATAGGACTATTTTCAAGCCCATTAAGAAATGATATGGCCTGATTCTTATTTCTTTTTTCATTGGATTCCTAATAGAGCCCAACTATGATGAAACAGCTATGAGCTATACCACTCCTAATACACAGTATATAAGATTTTTCATAAGGATAATGTATTATCGTATAATCTTTTTTTAATCCATTTTATTATCCTCTTCCCTCCTCATCAAATAGAAAAGGACAAAATTTCAATATTAGAAAGAGAAAGGAGGGAACATGTTTCCTCTAGGAATTGGATGCTTCCGCTCCATTATTACAGTCATGGATGGAACAAAATTGAGTACTTCCTTCCATGCAAAAAAGCTACCCGATCAAGTCATGCCTTCACAATTCTTTTCATTAAAGACAATTACTAAAGAAAAGGATATAAGCTAAAAATCAGAAAGATTTTGCTGGAAAAAGAGAGAAAAACAAACTAACCCGACATCAAATTTGTCAACAACTAATAATTTAATAATGAGAATGGATTATTTTTTTATGATAGTAGCATTCGAATACTAATCATAAGTAGTTGCATGCATGTCAACCAAGTACTTTATATAAAACTTTCTTGGCCATTCGATCAAAATTAAATAATTTGGGTTATTAGTAATATTGACTAAAATTAAGGAACAAGACATTAGCACATCAACTTGACTATTTTTTATTTATTCTCATGGCTCTACTATTATCTGACGCACAACCAAGTAGCACGTCAACATCGTAATCCATCCTGAAGAAATTGACATTTATGTCAATTTCATCTCTCGTTTGGTGGCGAGTCTCATCAATTGCCAAGCTGGTTATCATTTCATCGCAATTACTCATTAGATCATATTGAAGTTCAACCATTGATAGTATATTAATAAGAATAAAAGCATGTAGTAATTGCTGGTTTTAATATTCCAAGTGTGACTACAGCATTGCCAAATGAAAATGGTAGAAAATCGGCTCCAGTCAAACTTCAGTAGGTACATCAACATATGTTGTCATCACCTAAATTTGAAGTCCACGATGATCATGTGATAAGAAGAAACCGTGAGTTAATACGAATGGTACAAGATTGCATTCGAAATCATGTCCAAGTCACCCGTTGGATACTAGGAGTGATCACTGTCAGATTGTTTCAGATTTAATGAAAATAGTTTCAAAAATCAATCTAAATATAAATAAAGTTAGGGTAAATTGATTTCTCTCACTTTTCAACATGTAACCCGAACTAATCTGATCATAAATGAATTATTTGAATTGAATATTTAGCTCTGTATTTAAAAATAAAAATATTGTAACTTTTAAATTTTAATAATTATCAAGTTAAACAATAAAAAAATATCATTTTTAATATAAAAATTATAATATATTCTTAAATAATAGATCATTTATCCAGAATCACATTTAAAATACAAATCAAAATATAAACATCATGTAATATTTTAAAATATTTTTACTTTTTTTAAGCATCATTGCCTTCCAATAAAATATTTCCAAGTGAACAAAATAATAAAAATAAACTTAATATATGGACTGTAATTTATTATATTAGAAACAAAGGCTTAAACTGATATATAAATTTTATTTCTATACAAACCTTTTGTAACAAAGTCTATAGATCTACTAGCAATGGAACAAATTATTTTGTCAACTATACAAGGCTCAAGTCAATTCAATTAATTTAACAAGCTCAAATTTCAACTCGAATTCAATTTGTTTGGTTCATGAACTAAGTTCAACAAGCTAATAAACCAATATCGAGTCTCAAACCAATTTTGCCAACCTCAGTCTCCATCTAAAAAATATCATACAAGTAATGTGGATCAACTCAACTAGGTGACATGCCTCATCTAAAACTAAAAGGGTGAAATGCTTTAACAAAAACCAGAATATGATGCCAATTTACAAACCCATGCCAGAAACAAGGACCCTATAGCAAAAAACAGAAAATATTACAGGCTTAAAATAATCATATTTCATCATTAAGAAAGGTATAAAGCATGAATTCAGTAAGTTTGCAAGAAAAATGTAATATCTGCCAAATTCCAGAGAATGACATTCGATGAATGTCCAGAATGCATCCCAACCAGCTTAAGATTACAATGACTAAGATGGATACTGAATCAAGTTAGAGAAATTGACAGGAATAGGCAAGTATACGGAGATTGATGGTAGTACTGTCTAGTGTTATATATAGGATTCTGTTGAGTTTTTCAAGTCTTTGGAGTTTGGAACTTCGTACTGGGTTTCTCAAGCATTTGATTAGAGCTACCATACTATTAATTCCACTTGGAGAGATGTTAGCAATAATGTTTTATTCTCCTACTGTTTCAATTTACAAATCCTCTTGCTCACATAAAAATAACATATCTTCTAAAGATAAAATTAACTAATAATTTTTACAAGACACGTGTGCAAGAGGATTTTATAAGATACATTCTTCAATATACTCTTTGTTAATAAATTATTTTTAAAAATTCATAAATAATCACTGACTTTTTGCAAAATAAATCAATGCAAGGAGTAAATAAAAAAATGTGTTTAAAGTAGTGTGTCACTGACATCTCTATTCCATTTTATCCACATTTCTCGTGCAATTAAACAGATATGGTTATCACAATAGAAAAGTTAATACTTTTTACCTTGCTCTTCTGCACCAAAATGATCCCTTACCAATTTCTCCGCAAGATATGAATCATACCAAGTACGACCAAACATAATATAAAAATGCAGTACACAGAATTAAGAATATAAGTACTCATTTCAAGATTTTCTATGCACCCAAAATCATTTGTCAATTGATTACTAATACTTACTTTTGAATGAAAACAAAATAACCAAAAATTATGAAAATAACATACACAATTTAAAAAAAAAAAAAAAAAAGAAAAAAGATAGAGGGCATCCATATATAATGAAAAAAAAAGTCAAAATTTAAAATATACACAAGTTTTCATATTTTGTTGTTTCAAAAAAGAGTACAATGTGATTGAGTGAAAAAAACAAGTCAGCTAATAAATGGTCTTGAAAATATTGCCCTTCCATAGGGAGATAGAGATGGAGATGGAGATACTGCACACATTGTATCTATCTACGATCCCCCAGATGGTGGGCCTATACATATTCTTAAAGCCCACAAAAAACTACAAAAACTCAGTATCCAAAAAAAAAGACTAAACAATTTATATATAAAAAATAATGGATTGAAATGGATTTCATGAAAAAAGGGGTGCGGAAGCAAGACAAGAGGGGCACTTAACAAGACCGTTTTCGTTGCATGTATTACACGTTTTGAAGCCAGACTTGTCGGTGTAGACTTTCCTGCTACCGTTACACTCGTCGCACAGGACGAACCTGTGACCCGCGCACACGTGGCATTCGTTGGGATCCACTGCGGGCAGGTCTTCGAGGAGCTTCTTGAGCTCGCCAACCTCGTGCAGTTGCCTCACCTCCTCGGCCCCACCAACGTACCGACCACCAATAAAAACGCGGGGGAGGCTGGGCCCGGCCCGGCCCATGATCCGGCCCAGCTCGGTGAGAAAGCCCGAGTCCATGGACACGTCACGCTCGTCTATTTGAACCCGGAACCCGCGCAGAATGGAGAGCACGCTCTTGCAGGCCTCGAACGTGGGCCTCACCACGCGCAGGCTGGTGAAGTAGACCACCACGCGCTGTTCCGCGCCAGGAAAATAAATCGGAGGCGAAGGGTCGCTCTTTGAGTCATCGGGTGCTGGTTCGGCTAGAGGTTCGGATTCGGGTGTGGAGAGGGTTCTGGGTAATTTGGGAGGCTGGGGTTGGTGTTGGGGGTGGAGATGGAGGTGAGTTGACCAGGTTCGGAGGAGCGAGTTGGCGAGTCGGACTCGGTGGAAAACGGAGGGTTTTCTTGAGAGGGAAGGTGAAGGGTGGTGCTGTGGTTGTTGTGGGGGTTCGTCAAGGCAAAGACTTTGAATGTCTTTGAACGATGAACAAGAGAATGTGGAAGAGGGTGATGAAGATGCGCTATGAATTCTAACCGTTGATTTACCCCACGGTCGCCACATTGAAGGTGGGAAGCTACAATCTGATTCTCTTTTGGTGGGTTCAGTTTTCTTCACTTTGATTTGAGGGAATTAGGATGTGGGTTTGGAGAAAGGAGGGATTTTGATGGGGAAAATGGGGTTGTTTTGAGATGGGGTGTTGGAAATGGAAATGGAAATGGGTATGAGAATAGGGTGGGAATTCCTTTTCTTATTTTTTATTTTTATTTTTTTGGATTTTTGGAGGAATGGAGGAATTGGGGTTTGTTTCTAATTTTGTTGTTGGGGATGGATTGGTGGATAGAGAGATGGTTGCTTAAAGTTTAGGCATTGGGGAGTGGTGATTGAGGGAAGAGCTGCAAAAGCGGGTGGTGGTGAATTTGCATGTTTGCAAAGTTTGGGGAGGTCCTCAGCTTTTTGTTTCTCTTTTACGCTTTTACCAGAGAAAAAAAGATAATTAAAAAGTTGTGGAATTGGATTGGAAATTAGGGAGAGGGAGATTGTATTAGGGTTGAGATTGAAAGGGAGTGTGATGGGTGGTTAGGTAGTTGAGGGGTTCGTCTTTTTTGTTTTTTTAGGGCTTTGATTGGGGTTTAATATCATAGCAATGGAAGATGAGAGGCCCTTGTTAGTAACTTTGTACCAATTTTGGCCTATTTGTGGATCACAATCACTGCCTTTGTTTTCTCACCACAATAATCCTATTTCATTAATAAATGGTAAGCTAGACCAAAAATCAAATTAATAAAAGGCAATACAATATATTCTTACTTGTTTTCAAAATTTGCTTTATCAACTCTCTAATTGAATAAACCAGTGACTTTATTCAATGACTTACCTGTAATAACAAGTTTTTATTGATTTAAACTTCAAATTTTCAGTTTAAGTATCTAAACATAAGAAAATTATATTTATTTTTTTAAAGTATAATAAATATTTTTATTTTTAATAAATTTTTATTATTATTAATTGTTTATCTCATTCTAAATGTTAAAATCAACATTTTTCAATAATAAATGAATAGGCAATTCACTATTATAAGTTTGATTCTAAACTATGTCAACTATTTAAAATTATATAGCTTTTTTAAAAGAATTACCTTAGTTATAGCATGGAGGATTTGCTTGGAATCAAACAAAAGAAATAAATTTAAATTTTTATAAAGAGAAACGCCTATATTTAATTCTTAATTGCAATAATATCTGAAATGGTTAAATTATTTCCCGTAAAAAATATCTAACAAAAAACAAATAAAAAAGTTAGTTCAGATCCAAATATTATTTATAAAAATTAATAAAAAATAACTAACGAAATTCTGTATTGTTTTTGAATTTATTAAATTTATCCCATATATTATGATGATAACATACATAAAATTTTACATAATTTAAATATTTAAAGTTGTTTAATCTAATAATTTTTTAATATTTTAAATAACATACATTAAATTAAAGTAATATAATTTTTTTTAATAGACTAGAATTTTGTTACTTTATGATAATTTTAACCTACTAGCTAGATTGATTAAATTTACTTTTGACAAAGAATTGAGAATAATGTTTTACTAAGTTCGACGTAATGAATTTTACGTAGAAAAAATAAAATAAAAAAATCTTACCATCCGATATCATCATCAATGAATTATTAAAATTAAATATAAAAGATATATAATATTTTAAAAAAGTCATATAATTTTAATTAACTGTTAATCTTGCAATTCATATTTGTTGTTTTTATTCCCATATAAAAATTATATTTTCACTGAATATATCATAAAATGTGCATGGGTGTTAAAATTAAAATATTATTTAATAGTATTAAGCGTTTGTTCAAACAAGAGGTATAAGGGTCTTGCATTCAATTTGGATGGGGCATTAATCTCATTCCGTAAATTTTTATCAATTAAATAGCTTTATTACGAGTTGCTTTATCCATGCTTTATACGAATTTTTTAAAATTTCATGTTTAAATTCAATAGAATTTCGTGGGATTGTTTGGGTATTTTTCCTATTTTATTTGGAAATTTCACCATTTTTTCCATCGCCATAACTCTACCCCACAAAGACATTATGATTTACTCAAATTATCATTAACTGTGTAACATCATCAGCATCTAATTTCTCCAATGTAAACTTCACTTGTCACCAACAAAAAAGAAGAAGAAGAAGAAGACTTCAATTGTGTTGTGTTATGTAAAGTTTTTTTTTAGTAATTTAAATATTATTTTAATCTCTATAAAAAAAATTACATTTTACATTGCATTTGTAAATAAGAATCTAAATAAAAACTATTTTTAAAATAATATATATTATTAATTTATATTATAATACTGTTATTTCATATTTAAATAATTTTTTATTTTGATTCTTATATATTATTAATTTTTGTATTATGGTCATTAAGAATAATGTGTTTTTCATTTTAGTCATTATAAAAAATAAAAATTCAAATTAATATATATATATATATATGTATATATATATATATATTTCATGTAGAGATCAAAATAAAAATATACATAAGAACAATATTAAAATTTACTATCAAAACAAATTAAAAAATGTTATGTCAGTTTACGACAAAGTATAAAAAACAATTTATAATTTCAAACAATGTATATGTACTTCAATATGGTTATGAAGATTGTTGTAAAAAGAAAGTGTTTGAGAATTGAATAAAAAGTATTTTATTTTTATTCATTATAAAAAATTATAAGAGGATAATGTAAATTAATTTTAAAGTGTTAAAGTTATTAAATATAATAAATTATAGTGAATTGTTTGTTTTATGATTAAAACTTAATATAATTTGTTAGGTGCTACTTTCTAATTAAAATTTTACCAAATAATTAACATATAAAAGTCAATATTAATATAAAAATAAATATTTTAATTTTAATTAAAGAAAAATATCAAAAGTGTTTAATGTGTTACATATAAGTTTAATATTTAAGCAATTTTTTAAATAATATTTTAAAAAATATAAAAATATAACACTAAAATATTTTTTTTCTGACTCTCAAACAACATTTTCTCATTATAATTTATATAATCACATTATTTAAATTTAGTAAATCGCCTTTTTAAACTATCATAATTATTATTCTACTTTTCAACTTATTTTGATAGTGAATTTTATTTTGACCTTCATGTATATTTTTTTTCCTAATTTTAGTTCCTTATTGTTCCCGTATGTAATATATTTTTTGATTTTGATGACTATAATTTAATTATTTATTTTATATAAAGACTAAAATAAAAATATATATTATGTATAGACACATAAAATGAAAAACAAATGTTAAATATAAAATAACAGTGTTATAGGAAAGTTAATAATAAAAATTATTTTAAAAATATTTTTTATTTAAGAATTTATTTATAAAATTTTTACATGTAGAAATTAAATTAAAAATATGAATTAAAATAGTATTTAAATTTTTTTATAACTTAAAAGTTTATTTTTCTGATCAAAAGTTTTGATTAGTTAAAATAACTTTATTTCATAAAATAGTTAAAAAATAATAGCTACAAACATTTAACTTTTTAGCTTTAAACTAAATTCATCTTTTTCAACTTTATCCATGATACGTTTTTATATTCTTTCTTTTATAGTATCTTACTTATGCAAAAGTTTAAAATAAACATTTTTATCCAAAAAGCACTATTAATAGATCACAAATTTATTAAGAAAGATTCAACAAGATCATCAAAACTCATTTCTTTACGATATAAAATTCTTAAAATAATAATATAATTCAATTTTTTAATGTACCATTTTATTTAATAAAAATTTATAAATAATAAAAAATTAAAAATTATTATCTAACTTTTAAAATAATAAATAAATCAAAATATTGTAATTTATAATTATTTTAAAATATATAATCATCAAATTTTAAGTTTTGAGCTAACAACTAATTACATACTTACCTACATTATTAATTAATTTAACAGATAATTTTACTAAATATTTTTAATTTAATTAATTAACTTATTAATTTTTAACTTTCAATTAACTTATCGACTAGATTTATCCAACTTAACTTGACAAATCGACCTATTACTAAGTTGTTGAAATAATTTAGTAACTTTACCCAAAAGAAATGAGATATATTTATTAATTGTTTGAATAAGTATAATATAGTCTTTATTGTTACGTAGAAATAGAATTGTATTTTTTAATGGTATTATGGATAAGAGAAAAGTCATAAATTCTATTATTCTGAGGTTCTAAAAATGACTATTACTTGTTAGTAAAGAAAAAACTATTTTATTAGTTGATTGATCACGAAATTGTATACGTCTTAACTTTGTATAAGTATATTTTTATTTTTTATTTTCTTAAATAAGTATTAGTTTTTTCTCTGTGTATATGAATTTTGAGTTCCTCCTGAACTCTTTCTAATGATATATATTTTGCCTATAAAAAAAATACGTATCTTATCCATGCATTTATTTATAATTTTAAATTCATGTTGTAGTTTTAAACTTACTTACATACGTGTATTTGAAACTTTAATTGAATTGCTTTCTAGTTTTATTTTAATCAATTTTCATGTCAACAGATATTAAATTGCTAATTCACAACGTATTTAGAATAATGAATTAATTTCATGACTTCTGAACTAACTTGTTAATAATTATAATTAAAATATTTCAAACGGCTACTAATTAACTTTAAATTTTTCTACTTTTATATACTTTTAAAATCATCTCTCAAAAGTAAAGTTGATAATTTCTTAAAAATAATAGTTAGCAATTGATTTTGATTGCATTAATCTGAAATGCAAAAAAGAAAAGAATTATGCTATTGTAATTTAATTGTTATGGTAATGTAAAGTGAGATTGAGTAAATATGGGAGTTTTAGTCATTTATGGCGATAATGACTTGGGGGACATGTGTTTGTTTGAAGCTATTAGCTTATTGTCTGCTAATGTACCTATTGACAATTACATGCAACGTGTCCTATCTATCCAAACAAACACCAATCAAGACTCAACCCATAATTGGAGTGTTGATCATGATTTCACCTGAACCAGCCATCTTCTACAAGTTCATGTGTAGCATGGGCCACTTTAACCCCATTGATGTCCACCACGTATAGTTTCCTCTTGCTTGGCCTTGCTCAAGCACCAAAATGAAAGGATATGTTCTTAAGTTTTTCTTTTATATATGATATTGATCTTAGTTGAGCTCAAATGGCAATGTGATTTTCATGTTTGCTCTTTATGTGGTTGAAATGATTGGTGTAGGAACTTTGAGCAAGATTGCAAAGATACTTTAACGTTTAGAGTTAGAAGATACTTTAGGAGGATGTTCATATATGAATTTGTTTATATTTTGTGACATGAAATGTGCCTTTTAGATGAGTGTGGATTATAATCAATATCACATAAACGCCATCAAAAGTAATGGCTGTGAAAAGTGGTTTGCAATTATCTATTA